AGGTCTGTTGTAGACAGGCATATGTGAGCAGGTGTGTGATAGCACGGCGGCTCTTAAACTGAGCATAACTTGCAACATACTTCATCCCAGAAGCTAGGGGCATAAAAAAAATATAAAGCAACTATGATTTCCATTTTCTGTGCCATCAAACAAAGCCACATAAGTAAACAAACCAAGACAAGTAGTATCACTGGAGGCTACTTATTTTATTTAATTCTATTGAATCACTGTGAGATAGTTACAAGCTTTTATGTTTGAGTTACAATCATACAATGATCAAACACCCATCCCTCCACCAGTGCACATTCCCCATCACCAATCTCCCCAGTATACCCCCCTTTCCGACCCTCCCCCTTTCTCCATGGCAGACAATTTCCTCTACTTTAGGGCATTATGGTTTGCAATACAGATACTGAGAGGTTATCATGTTTGGTCCTTTCTCTACTTTCAGCACACATCTCCCATCCTGAATGATCCCTCCAACCATCAGTTTCTTTCTTGATCCGTTCTCTATTCCAGCTGCCTTTTCCCCCTGCTCATGAGGCAGGCTTCCAACTATGGTGATGCTACTTATTTCAAATAACATTCACCATTGTTGACCAGGGATAACCATGGAAGGAAACCCTTTCATGGCCACGGGGGCACAGTCTAGAGGCACAAGAAAATAGACTTTGGTTTCCAGTGACTCTGAGATTGATCCCAGCTGTTTAGGATAAAACCTCTCTTCATCTACAGATCTCCTGTAGATCCATTTTCCTCTAAAGAATATTCTGTGGCATTTTATTTTTGTGGTGCCGGATGTCAAACCCAAGTCCTCACAACATGCAGGGCATATGTTCGACCACTGAGTGACATTCCCTTCCTTTAGGTAACTTTAAGATCTGTTACCAGTGATTTCTGTCAATGATTGTATGTGAAACTTTTTTTTTTATTTTGCCTTTATTCTTGAAGGATTCTTTTTCTTGGCATAGAACTTTTTTTTTTTTTTTTTTTTTTTTTGCTTTTTGGGTCACACCCGGCAATGCACAGGGGTTCCTCCTGGTTCTGCACTCAGGAATTACCACTGGCGGTGCTCAGGGGACCATATGGGATGCTGGGAATCGAACCCGGGTTGGCCGCATGCAAGGCAAACGCCCCATCCGCTGTGCTATTGCTCCAGCCCCTGGCATAGAACTCTTTATTGGCAAATCTTGAACGTGTTCTAGGTGTTCCATTATCTTGCACTGCCATCGTTTTTTTTGGTGAAAGTCGACCATGAGCTTCATTATTGTTTATTTGGAATTAACATATATTTTATTCTGGAGGCCTAACATTTCCCACCCCCCCCACCCCCAATCTTTGATTTACAACAATTACCTGCTTAGGTGAGAAGTTTTCTTTTTTTCCAGCTTGGGAATTAGGCATACCAAATCATGGCTTATTTCTCCTTATCAATTTTAGACATTTTTGTTTGTTGTTTGTGTTTTGAGCCACACCTGGCGGTGCTCAGGGCTTATTCCTGGCTCTGCACTCAGGGATCACTCCTGGCAGGCTTAGGGAACTATGTGGGGTGCCGGGGATCCAACCCGGCTCAGCCATGTGCAAAGCCGCTGTATTGTCTGTGGTCCCCACTTGTAGAAAATGCTTAGCTGTTACCTCCTCAAGTATTCTGCTCCCTGATTAAGTCTATCCTCTTTGTGGTATTCCTTGTGCCTGTTTGATCTTCCCAGCAATGTCTTCTCTCTCTTTCAATTTTTCCTGTTTCCCATCTTTTGTATTTCATTTGGGCTGGAGCAATAGCACAGCGGTAGAGCGTTTGCCTCGCACGCGGCCAACCTGGCTGACCCAGGTTCGATTCCTCCGCCCCTCTCGGAGAGCCTGGCAAGCTACCGAGAGTACCTCGCCCACACGGCAAAGCTTGGCAGGCTACCTGTGACGTATTTGATATGCCAAACACAGTAACAACAAATCTCACAATGGAGACGTTACTGGGCCCGCTCGAGCAAATCAATGAACAACGGGAGTGACAGTGACAGTGACAGTATTTCATTTAGATCGTTTCTTCTAAAGCCCTAGAGAAGCCAATGAAATTTCTTCCAAAATTTTTATCCATTAGAAAATCCACCTCAGGGCTGGAGTGATGGCACAGTGGAAAGGGTATTTGCCTTGCACGCGGCCAACCTGGGTTTGATTCCCAGCATCCCATATGGTCCCCTGAGCACCACCAGGAGTGATTCCTGAATGCATGAGCCTGGAGTAACCCCTGTGCATCGCTGGGTGTGACCAAAAAAAAGAGTGCTTTAAAAAAAAAAATCTACCTCATTTATTTTTTCTCTTTGAAACTTTAGACACTGCAATTTATAAAGTTGTTCATAACATATTCATTTCAGGTATTTGATGCGCCAACACCAATCCCACCACCAGTGTGACCTTCCCTCCACCAGTGTCCCCAGTTGCCACCCTCCAGTCTACCCCCCTTAACGGGCACAAAATAGTTGACCTTATATTGCTTGCCACAACATATATCTCCTAACAGTGTTACTAAAGTCATTGTCTGAGGATTTGCTGAGCTGTTAGACCTCATTCTTGGCTTCATTTTCTTTTTTTTATTCTAGAATATCAGCCTTATCAAATATACAGCCATTTGGAGAATAGATCTTAGCCAGAGTTAGAGATTGTAGTTTTGTGCTTCGCTTGCGGGTTCAATTCTTGGCAGAGTAAAAACAAAGAAAAAGAAAAATCTAGATCTACCCCCAGAGCCCTCAAGTTTCTCTTCAACCTTTAACATTAAGGAGACATCTCCTGGTCTCTTTAGGAACCTCTCCAGGCTAACCCCCCATCTTTTAAACTAAATGGCAATTCTCTAAGTTGAAAAATTTTGAAGACCTTGATCGAATTTTAGGGCCTGAGGTGATTAAGTTCTGAGCGTCAGACCCTAAGAAGGCCTGTCTACCATTGGCTCACCCTTCCGATTCTTCCGATTTGAGTCCAGTCCTTCGGGGTCACAGCGCAGAAAAGAAAACTAACTCAAGAGCTCCCTCCCAGAACACCCACCCTCAACCTCCAGGCCAGGCCCTTGGGATTACCAGAAAGTCCAATTGGTATCACTGAGAACAACCCTGCTTTGGCATATGCAAAGGCCCATAAAGAGAATTGGACCTCCAGCCCTTTCATTCCCCAGACCATTGACTGTTTTGTTTTGTTTTTGCTTTTGTGGTTCACACCCCGCGATGCACAGGGGTTACTCCTGGCTCATGCGCTCAGGAATTACTCCTGGCGGTGCTCAGGGGAACCATATGGGATGCTGGGAATCGAACCCGGGTCGGCCGCGTGCAAGGCAAACGCCCTCCCTGTTGTGCTATCGCTCCAGCCCCGACCAGTGACTGTTTGTGGTCTGACTTCCTGTGTGACCAGGATGAGAGGGTGATATTAGCTTACAGTTTGTCCAGGGTTTAATTTTTGTTGCTATTCAGAGTACTTAGTTCCCCTTAACAAGAAGGTTGATCCAAATTACCCAGCCTACTCCTTTTAGAAAAGTCTTTGAAAATTGGCTTTTTAAAATGACTTCATTGTTCTCTTTCTCTTTTATCATATAGTATAAAGTGGAAGAAATTAAATTCCCTTGAAAATTGAATTGTTAAAAAATCTCCAGTGAATTTAAACCTAATTTAAAGACAGTAGTAAGGCTTTCACTGGCGAGTTGCCAAATCCCTACACACACTCTCTCCTTATCTTTGTTCACATATAGGGTAACTCCAGGAATAGTTCTGCCTTGCAATCACACCTCTGCTCCACCTCCATTATTTAAAATAACTCAGCACAGTGTTGAATTAAATATCCTCATCCAGGAAGACTGCCTTGGCACCACGGGGCTTCCGTCTCTGCTGCCCCCTTAGCAGGGAACATGCTAAGGCCTGGAACCCTGCTTAGAAACTATTCTTATTGGTGTTATTATTATTATTAGGGCTAGAGCGATAGCACATCAGGTAGGGCGTTTGCCTTGCATGTGGCCAACCCACATTCAATTCCTCCGTCCCTCTTGGAGAGCCCGGCAAGCTACTGAGAGTATCCCACCCGCATGGCAGAGCCTGGCAAACTCCCCTTGGCATATTCAATATGCCAAAAACAGTAACAACAAGTCTCACAATGGAGACGTTACTGGTGCCCACTCGAGCAAATCAATGAACAATGGGAGGACAGTGCTACAGGTCATTATTATTATTATTATTATTATTATTATTAAATTTCCTCCTTTTGCCCACTGACTGTGAATGTCTTTGCGATCAGGACTGCATATTTTTTGTTTGTTTTTCCCAACTTAATTACTTGGCATACTCCACAGCATACAATGGCAATCCAAGAAACTGGGAGTTTTTGGAAGGATGTGGGCTTCCCCACCACCAAACCCCTACCCCACTAGTATCAAATATTTTGTTTTTTTCTTGGCCTACCTGGGGCTTCATTTTATACTGGGCTCTTGAACTCCATCTGTGACCTGTTTCATCTTCTCACCAGCAATCACCTTCTTTCAGATCTTCAAACCCTGCCCTTCCTTCAGAGTCCTGGGCTCGGTGCTTGGACTCCCACTAAGTGGGACCTGTGGAGTCTGTATAGTCTGATACTAATCCACATTTAGGTTGTCTTATGGAGGACAATGTTTGTCCAGCTGAGACATTCTGGGGTGTTGGGGGGAGAGGAAGCAATTGTATTGCTTTTATGAAGACCAGCAGCCATAAAACTAAGTCAAAGAATATTCTGGAGAACTTGACTTTTTTTTTTTTTTGCTTGTTTAACTGGTTCTGCACAACCGCCTGTAATTGGGTAAGTAAATCCACACATCGTGCCCCTTATTTTGCGTATTGGCTTTTCTACTTATTTGTGTAAGGTACAGCACACACGATCTGTTCATGCAAGCACACGGTATGTTCATGCAGGCACTCGGTATGTTCATGCAAGCACACGGTGTGTTCATGCGTTTCATTCCTGCTCTTCCCTCTCTTGTCTCTCTCTTGTCTCCGCAGGTCAGTGTTGAAGTTTTGGTAGAGTACCCTTTTTTTGTGTTTGGACAGGGCTGGTCATCCTGCTGTCCCGAGAGAACCAGCCAGCTCTTTGATTTGCCGTGTTCCAAACTCTCCGTTGGGGATGTCTGCATCTCGCTCACCCTCAAGAACCTGAAGAACGGCTCTGTTAAAAAGGGCCAGCCCGTGGATCCTGCCAGTGGCCTGCTAAAGCCCACCAAGCCCGACGGCCTGGCGGGCAGTAGACACAGGTACGCCGAGCAGGAGAACGGAATCAATCAGGGAAGTGCCCAGATGCTCTCGGAGAACGGTGAACTCAAGTTTCCCGAAAAGACAGGCTTGCCCTCCGCCGCGCCCTTGCTCACCAAAATAGAACCCAGCAAGCCCGCAGCCCGGAGGAAGAGGAGGTGGTCGGCGCCCGAGACCCGCAAACTGGAGAAGTCGGAAGATGAGCCACCTTTGACTCTTCCCAAGCCTTCTCTCATTCCTCAGGAGGTTAAGATTTGCATTGAAGGCCGGTCTAACGTAGGCAAGTAGCGGCAGCGTGGGCAAAGGAGAGCTGGCTGACCCTCATCATGTGTATCCAGATTACTGTACTGTAGGCTAAATAACACAGTATTTACATGTTATCCTCTTCCTTTAGGTTTCTGTTCTAACCTGGTCATTAGACTTAACAGCTGGGGTGGCCGGCTCTCACCACGTGGGTGCCCGGGCTCTAGTGTAGAGGGGGGCGGGGCAGTCCACGCCAGCTCAAGGGGCACCCTGAGCGGCTTCCCAGGCTCCGTCCTTCTTTCTGGTTGGCCCAGACACATCTCTGGGAGCGCTGACCTCTCTCCTGCCGGGTTTTCAGTGAGGAAGTTGTGCAGGAAAGGCTGTCCCGGGGCTGCGTTGCAGGCCTGAGTCTGCACCCCTGCCCCGCCTGGAGCTCGGCTGCACCCGGGGGGCGTGGCCTCGGCAGCTGTCACTCACGCGCAAAGGCCCAATCAGGAATCCCGCTTCCCGGGGCCGACTCGCTAGGTCCCACCCCGACCCCGCCTCGAGCTCGGCTGCACCCGGGGGCGTGGCCTCAACAGCTGTCACTCACGCTCAAAGGCCCAATCAGGAATCCCGCTTCCCGGGGCCCTCCTTGCTAGGTTCCACCTCGGCTCCGCCCCGAGCTCGCTTGCACCCAGGGGGCGTGGCCTCCGCAGCTGTCACTCATGCGCGAAGTTCCAATCAGGAATCCCGCTTCCCGGGGCCTCCTCGCCAGGTCCCACCCTCGACCGCGCGTTTCAGAAAGGCAACCGTGTAAAAGAACTATTTTTCCCTCCTCCCCCTCCAACTTATTTTACAATAAAAGCAACTTTTCATCCTATAGATACCTATTTCCCCCTATGGGGCCTGACTGCACTGATTTCCCTCCCCCCCTTTTCTTCCCTTAAAGAGCAACTGCCACACGTGGGATTTTGTTTTCTGCTTTCCAAGTGCAGTGGTTTCCCCGGGGGTGGACCGGGCAGCCCCTGCGGGAGGGGGTGGCGAGCGGACAGCGGGCGAGTGGACACCCGCTCGGGTTTCTGTGCAGTGTTAGGAAAACCAACCAGGTGATGGATCGCGTTTGACTTCGCTCCCAAGAGATATAGACGCGAGCCGCCGAAGCTCTTCGCGTTGGGCTTGCAGATCTTTTTGTCTTTTAACTCTAGTACTGTTTATAGTTCATGACAATGGACAACTCGGGTGCCACTTTTTTCAGATTCCAGTGTGACGTGAGGAATTAGATTTTGAAGATGAGCATATATATTACTATCTCTTAAGCACTTAAAAAAAATTCTGTTCACACTTTATTACCAAGCATCTTGGTCTCTCATTCAACAAGTACTGTATCTCACTTTAAACTCTTTGGGAAGACAAACAAAAGCAAACAAACAAACAAAAAAAAGTAAGTTGCTTTCTTTCTTTCTTTTTTTTTTTTCAACACTGTAACTACATTTCAGCTCTGCAGAGTTTCTCACGAGCAAGATCCTGAAAGTTTCCACGTGGTTTCAAGGGATGAATGTGAATCATGAACTCGTATGTGACAATGAATGACCACCAAGAAAAGCCTAACAGGGGCACTTTTTCACTTTGATGTTTGAGAAAGAATTAAAGGCGTATGCAGAGAAACTGAGAGAAAAGGGATGGGAAATAAGAATACTCATTTTTGTTCAGTGTTTTTTCCTTTTAAGATGAACTTTTAACGAACCTTGCGATTTGCACATCTTGAGTTTATAATTTGTGTGATATTCCTGCAGTTTTTATCCAATAACATTGTGGGAAAGGTTTGGGGGACTGAACGAGCATAAATAAATGTAGCAAAATTACTTTCTAACCTGCCTAACTCTAGGCCGTTTTATAAGGTTCCTTTCAAAATTCATTTTGGTCTTTTTATCACATCTGTCAGAGAAACCAGGCGTTAGCAGGAATAACTCTGAGAATTTTCTTCAGATGCGTTGAGAGAATTTTCCATGAAGACATTCATATATGTGAGCGAGTTTTTTTTAAACAATTACTTTATTATTGTTATTAATGTTATTTTCAAAATGACATTTTTTCCCCAAGATTTCATCTTTGGTACAAGCCCAAAAAGGGTTTTTCATTGCTTAAATCTTTCATTCCCCTAGAGTTGCAAGATTGTGGGTTTTGAGGAGAAATCTTAAAGTGCTTTTTAAAACAATTTGCATAAGTGGAGAAAATTTTCCAGTCTTCTTACTTGGAATGGCTATGCCTAATTTGCACCAATGCCAGATTTCCCTTTACCATTGAAAAAAGAACTTCCATTTCACAAATTAAAAACGAAAACAAAATAGCAGAACCTCAAACTCACATCTTGGCTTATCTCATATTTATGTTTCTTTTCACCAGAATTAACAATTTTTATAAACCATTGTCCGGGGGTTTACCAAAACCATTGGAGGAGGTTTAGAAAAGCTTTTCTTGGCTTCCTTGGAATGGCTATCAGAGGGCGAGCTTCAGAGGCCCGTTCTTAAAAGTCATACTGCTTATTTCATGCTGTTTTCTTCCTTTTTCTCTTTTTTCTTTTCTTTTTTTTATTTTTATTTTTAATGTTTCTGTTCCGAGAACTTGCTTCATCTTCCATATATATTCTGCTCAGGGCACTTGTGATGATTAGGTTCATTTTTCTTTTTTTGTTTGTAACCTTTGATGATAAGACGGAGAACGGGGCCGCCATACAGACATTGTCCTCATTAGCGCCACTCTTGACCGCAACTCTTTTGGACTCAGAAAAAAAAAAAAACACGCATCGACCAATCACCTTTTGGCTTACTTTGGAGTATTGAACTAACTGGATCCACGAAACCGACACCATCACGGGAAAATGTAACACGGTTTGCAGCAATAGGAAACATCATCCTCATTTGTGTGCTTCTACTCTATTTCAGGTATAGGAATTATCATTGGTTCTTTCGAAAACGGTGTCCCATTTTATTCTCTTGCTTTTCTTAGCATGTGCAATACTTTCTGTGCCAATAGAGTCTGACCAGTGTGCTCTAGTTCAAAGCTCATGTTACCCCTTTGGCTGATTTTCCTGTCGGGTCCATCTTTCTGGTTCTGGCCAGACGTGGGCCAGAGGGACGGAGCCAGGAAGGGGAGCGCTGCTCTGCTGTGAGTTTTCCCCTGTGGATATAGAGCACTGGCAGCCAGCTGGGAGCTCCTGGTGGGTGTCTGTCTGTCGCCAAGCCGCAGAAAGAGCTCAGCAAAGGAGATCTGGGGAGCGAGCTGCAGTGACCCACCACCGCCCAGGAATAGTCTGGAGAGGAAGAGGCAGACTCACAGCTAAGGGACACTCGGGAGAAGTGTAGCCAGGATCCACCCGTGGGCCACGTCCTTCCCAGGATGGGACAGTCACCTCCTGAGGCCTGTGCCCTTGAGACTTGGCCTTGTGCCTCTGAGCCAGGGGGCCCAGGCAGTGACTGCAAGAGGGAGTCACCCGTGAACCACGATCATCATCGCTCCTCCGTGGCAGCTCTCTCTCCAAATAGGAAGACCACCCAGAGCACAGGGCACCTCCTCTGGCTTGCGGACACTGGAGAGCCCCCACTCCCTCTATGAGAAGCCCAGGGTAGCCTGTGCCGCTGCTCCTTGTGTAGCAAACCTAACCATGACAGGCCTAGAAATCTCTCTGGTGCCGTGTGCAGCTTCCGAGGATCAGCTATGTGCCTCTGTACTATGTCCACTCTGCAATATTTGCTGACAGCCGTCTTTCGTTCGTTCTTTCCTGGTTTCCATTTTTAAACTAATAATAACAGCAGGCCTTTTGCGTTTACAATGGAACACAATCACCAAGAAATTAGTCAGGGCGAAAAGAAAAAAAAATAATAATAATAAGAAACCAACAAACAAGAACCTCTCTTTGTAGGGATTTCTAAATATATAAAAATGACTGTTCCTTAGAATGTTGAACTTGAGAATTCTTTCGGTTTGTCTGGACCACCTTGGGGGTGGGGTGGGGGGGGTGGGGAGGGGAAAATACAGACATGGACGCCACTTACCTCAAATCTTTTAAAGTGGAAATCCAAATTGCATTTTTATTTGGACTTTCAGGAGAATCTTCTATGTCAATTATTATTTTTTTTTTTTTGGTTTGTTTGTTTCTCCCTATTCACCCGATTTGGGTTTAGGATGGTTTCTTTTTTTTTTTTTTAATCCCTGTCGTCACTGATCCCATTTCTGACTCTGAATGGTGACCCTGTATGTTTTGTTTGGTGAGTGTGTTGGGTTTCCCCCCACCAGGAAGTGGCGGCATCCTTCCTTCTCCCCTACAAGGAACTCTGCGGAACCTTTCACACCTCTAACTCAGGGACGGGGCTGGCGTGTGTGTGGTACACGGACGTGTCCAGAAGCAGCACTTTGACTGCTCTGGGGTAGGGTTGTACAACTTCAAGGAATGTTTGGATTTCCTGCATCTTGTGGATTACTCCTTTAGATACTGCATAGATTGCAATATAACGCTGCATGTTCGAGATGAACAGTAGCTCCTAGTAAATCAAAAAATCCACTCTTTTTTGCACATAGTTTGATCTTTACTGAAATATGTTGCCAAAATTTATTTTTGTTGTTGTAGTAGCTTTGGATTTCTTTGTTTTTTTTTTTTAAGGAAACAATTGACAATACCCTTTAACATCTGTGACTACTAAGGAAACCTGTTTCATAGAGAGAGAAAAACAAAATCTCAAAATGCTTTTGAAGACACTAACACCATGCTATTTCAGATACGGTTGAAGAAGCAGAGTGCTTGGAACGCAAGGCCAGGCTTTTTGAGCTGTGTTGGTTGTCATGTTACTGCTTCATAAATCAACAGAACAGTTCAACCCATTATGGCCTGTCGTCTCCCCAGACCCTTTGCACTTCCTGTTTCACCCAGGATATTTCCAGGTGAAAACAGGTGGTCTCCAGAGCCCAGTCCAGCTTCTGGCGGTGATTTGCAAGGAAAGGGAATGACGCTTTTCAGTTTTGCAAAGTGAATTTTGGTGAAAGGCCTCAGCTTCCCCCTTTCATGTTTTCAACCCAGAATTTCTGAAATAGAGAATGGAAGAATCCATCAAGTACTAAATATACAGAGAATTTTACTTTTTTTTTTTTATAAAGCACATATATATGCTATTGTGTTGGGTTGGTTTCCTCTCTTTTCCACAGACAGTGTTGTGTTTCTGTTGATAGGGAAACTCCAAACAATTTGTCCACCTCTACTCCGGAGCTGAGATTTCTTTTACATAGATGACCTCGCTTCAAATATGTTACCTTACTGATAGGGTCTTTCCTTGTAGCACTATACCTTGTGGGAATTTTCTTTTTCTCCTTCTCTCTTTCTCTCTCTCTCTCTCTCTTTTTTTTAAATGTACACCTAATTTGAGAAGCTGAAGAAAAAACAATTTTTTTTTGAAGCACTCACTTTGGGGAGTACAGGTAATGTTTTTTAAAAAAAATTGCACAAAAGAAAAATGAATGTCGAAACGATTCATTCAGTGTTTGCAAGATGGATCTGTTGAAACAATGAGTTTCATACCTTGTTTGTAAAAAAAAAGAGAAAAAAAGCATAAAGGTTGAAAGTTACATGTTTTTTTGTATATAGAAATTTGTCATGTCTACATGATCAGATTTGTATGGTTATGGCCTGGAAGAATTACTACGTAAAAGGCTCTTAAACTATACTTATGCTTTTATGTTTTGTTACATAGAGTCGTCTTCTGCGGGAGGGCATCTCCATAGTCTTCAATTTGAGAATACTGTTTCATTCCTTTGCGGAAAGTACTTCTCTGCGCTCCCTTCTTAGTTGAAACTCTTAAGCCATTGCAACTCCTTTTTCTTGAGATGATGTTTAACATTTTCAGCACTTCCTGTTCCAATAAACCCAAAGAATATAATCCTGAACAAGAAGTGTTTGTCACTCGGGATCCTAGCTACCACTAAAACAGGACTCACGATGATAACAATAGCAACAAAAAAATTGGGCAACCTTCTTCCCCCACACCTCATTTCAAGGGGGGGCGGGCATAAAACGTGAATTTCAATATCAATGCCTCATTTGGCTTGAGTTCGATTTTGATTTTTTTTTCCCCCTTGACTATTTTAGAGGCCAAAATAAATTGTGGAGCCACTTCTCAGAAGAGTCATTTTTCTGCACACAAATCAAGCAGAAACTGGGCCGCTGTGGGGCTCTTGCAAAAAACCCACCGACAATTCTTAAAATTTTGAATCTCGGCCCCTCCCTGACTGCTGACTGCGATTTTTCTGGTAGCTGACATTCACCTTATACGATGGCGGGAGGGAAGAGCAGCTTCGGTTTTTCCACATCCTCATGACTTGCATACAAATGGTTCAGCTGTATTAAAATTAAGTGCATTTGGCCAATAGGTAGTATCTTGACAATAACGAGTCTCTACGAATTTCTGTAACTTTTCTTCTCTGAAAGGACTCAAGTCTTCCACTGCAGATCACTGAAGACTTTCACCCAACGTTCCTTTCCCTGTAGTTGGTGTGTGCAGTTGCTTTCTGGATGGCCAATGAGCCTGCCTCCTTTCTCTGTGGTCAGTCTGAAGGCCTTTTCGTGCTGGGGCTTTGTTTACAGTAATCCTGGCCGGGTGGCCTTCTGGCCTCCCGGAATCCCGAGGTGACTCAAGCTCGTGGCTGTGGGCTCGCAAGAAAGCACAGCCACGGAGCGGCTCTGGTAGCATCTGGTAGCATCCCTCTGGTCTCGTCCCCCAAACCACCTAGTCTTCAGCCCGAGTGCGGGGGGGAAACGCTTTGTCCATAGAGGCCTGAGCATGAACACTGTCCCTTTCGGCCTCTAGGGGGCGGTCTCCTCACTGCTTCCCTTTCCATGGCTCTACCTGAGTTCCAGGTAACGCCCAGAGCTCTAAGTCATTTCTAGCCCGTAGGGAGCGGTCCTGGCCCCAGAACCCCCTCTGAGATGGGTCCCCAGGATGTTTTCCTCTTGGATCATTACTCCCCCAGCTTCCCATCCTCTGCTTCCCACCGGCCAAGGGGAAAGAGACAAGTTAAGTGGGACGTTGCTGGCGCTATCAGACTGGCACCGGCCAGTAAGGAGGACAACTAGGGAAGGAATGATGTTTTGCACCTTATTGAAAAGAAAAATGTTAAGTGCATACATAGTTAAGAGCTTTTATTGTGACAGGAGAACTTTTTTCCATATGCGTGCATACTCTCTCTGTAATTCCAGTGTAAAATATTGTACTTGCACTAGCTTTTTTAAAACAAATATTAAAAAAAAAATGGAAGAATTCATATTCTATTTTCTAATCGTGGTGTGTCTATTTGTAGGATACACTCGAGTCTGTTTATTGAATTTTATGGTCCCTTTCTTTGATGGTGCTTGCAGGTTTTCTAGGTAGAAATTATTTCATTATTATAATAAAACAATGTTTGATTCAAAATTTGAACAAAATTGTTTTAAATAAATTGTCTGTATACCAGTACAAGTTTATTGTTTCAGTATACTCGTACTAATAAAATAACAGTGCCAATTGCAAAAAAAAAGTGTCCTTGCGGTTGTGTGGGGGGGGGGGGGGGAGGGAACGTGCAAAGAATTGCTTTTTCTTCCTTCCCTGTGGCCCTGAAAGGGGCTTTTAAAAATGGGAGACACGCACCACAGGGGGTGGGTGGGAGGGATTCACTTCTCACATTAAAGGAAACAGGATGAGCACAGTCCCTGGGGACCACATGCACATTCGAGAAATGCAACCAGTGCCCCCAGGAACACCTGGAGTTCATCCTCCTGTTGGTTTTGAATTATGGGTGATTTTGAGTTAATGGGTGATTTTGAATTAATGGGTGCTCCTTGAAACGTTATACCAGTGATCTTCAACTGCCAGTCCTTGGGGCCAGTTCTGCAGGCGTAGAAAGGTTGAAAACTGCTGTCTGTCCTTTACTTCTGCTGCCAGAATTTTTGTGACTCACCCCAGACCCCATTGTTCTCCACGTGGGCCCACAGCCCACCAGTTTAAGAAGTTAAAGCCCAGGTCGTTGGTGGTGGAGAAGGAGAGCGTAGCGGGCAGCACCTTTCTTAAATTTTCCCTTTGGGGTTGGGGGACTGTAACTTGGGGAGGGAAGGAGGGGTGTTGTGATTCTGCTTATGATTGTGAGGTGAAAGGCACCTTTCAACATCTTGTGTCCTGTTCTCTTGCTATTTATTTCTCCTATCTCCAGAGGCTGTTTATAGGATGTTTCCAGATGTTGATAGCCCGTGGCAACTTGGGATCACATGGATCAGTACGTTGTGTAGAGTGATGGGAAGCTCAAGACTTAGAGGAATTCCTGAGCAGGGGCGGGGTGGTATCTCCCATTTGCATGCACCACAGCTGGACACAGCCCTGAGCTCCAGAAAGGGGGCAGCTCGCTGGCCCTATGCCTGAGAAAAATCACCTTTTAAGGAGCGAGGACTCCCAGTGCCCTCCCACAGCCCTGCACTTGCCAATCATCCCTCCTGACTTCCGGTTTTGTGCAGAAGGGGGGAGCAGAGAGTTGAGATCCTGAGGCTAAGAAGATTGGACAGGGGGTTAGTGTGCATACCCACGCCTTGCATGCATGGGGCACCGTGTGTCCTTCCTGTCCCCGACCCCAGACATTACTATTGCTCTGCGGCTCCTGAGCATCACAGAGGTGGCACTGGTGGTCCCAGCAGCCTTGCATTGGGTCCCTTGCATTGGGTCATTGCATTGGGTCATTCAGCCCAGGTAGGGAAGAATGACCTGGAGTGGTCCCAGCCCTGCTGGATAATGCTAAAGAGCTCCCCAGCCCACAAGAGCAGAGGCCCTGAGGCAGTGTGGGTGTTCGGGATGGACGGCTGGGCAGAAGGGTGATCTGGTGAGATGGAACCCTGGCTCAGAAGGGCTGCACAAGCCTCGCTCCCAGCCCAGAGCAGGCTGTGTAGGAACATGGGGAGGCCACCAGGCTCAGGATTTCCACTCTCCTCTTTCAGTCTCAGTGGCCGATGACGACGTTTCCGTCGAGGTTACTAGCTGGATCATGGGCCAAGGCTGTGAGACCCCTCTGGTCGGATGGATTAGGGACCAATCTCTATCTTGTTGGGGGTGGGGATGGGGGATGGCTGGAAAGTGCTGAAACAGGAGTGCCTCTAAGGCCTAGGTATGGGGGGGGGGGGGGAGAGGGGAGGTCTCTCCTACCACCCTTCTCCCATTTGCACAGAAGGACTCCAGGCCCAGACCAGGATCTCTGTAAAGCCCTGGGTCTGAGGGAAGGCCTGAAACTTTTCCTGTAAAAGACCTTGGGAGGCAGCTGGGCTGGGGGTGGGGTGGGGTATAGGTTATAGGATCAGGGAACCTGAGGACCAGCCTTCAGCTGAAGCAGTCAGCCCCCTCGGTCCCCTCCCCTCCCCCACCCAGTTTCCACGCCCACCTCATTCCTACAAATGCAAACCAGCGGGCACCACATCTTAAGATAACAGCATTATATTAAAGTGAAACCTTCTTTGTAAAAAGCAAGAAAAGGTGCAAGTGTTAGTCTTAACAATGAGGTTCCGAGATCCAGGCCACTGGGCTCTGACCTCTGGCCCATCATGCCCAATTTGGGGCCCCCTGGAAGGCACTGGGCGGGTGGGGGAGCCCCAAAAGCCTCCAGGTAACAGGACGGGGAGGAGGCGGCCACATTCCACCAACCAGGAGGAAGCGATGAAGAGGAGGGAGAGGAAAGCAGGGGTGTGTGTAAGTGTGTGTGTGTTTGCATTTGTGTAAAGTGCATGCGTGTGTGAATGCATGCGTGTGTGAGTGCATATGTGTGTGTGTGTGTGTGTGTGTGTGTGTATGTGTGTATGGGGGAGCAGCGGGGAGGGGATGAATGAGCTTCCAGAGGCCGGCAGGCAGGTTGTCCAGGAGGTCAGCTGAACACGGTGTTGTGCTGTTGGGTGACCCGGATGAACGTGGCCCTCCTGCTCAGCTCTTTGAGTTTGGCGGCCCCCACATAGGTGCAGGTAGACCTCAGTCCCCCGAGTATATCCAGAATCGTGTTTTCCACATCCCCTTTGTAAGGCACTTCCACAGTCTTGCCCTCAGAAGCTCTGGAAGAAAAAGGAAGTTTTTTCTATTAATCTGGGTTCATTTTTTGTTGGCTTAAGACCCTAGTCAGGGGCTGGAGCGATAGCACAGCGGTAGGGCGTTTGCCTAGCATGCGGCCAACCCAGGTTCGATTCCCAGCATCCCATATGGTACCACGAGCACCGCCAGGAGTGATTCCTGAGTGCAGAGACAGGAGTAACCCCTGAGCATCGACAGGTGTGACCCAAAAAGCAAAAAAAAAAAAAAAAAAAAAAAAATAGAAGAAGAAGAAGAAAAAAAAGATCCTGGCCAGAGGGCAAGAGACCCAGGCAAAGGGTTACAGCACTAGCCTTGGGGAAGGTATTTGCCTTACATGTGACCTATTTCACTTTGATCCCCGGGCACCATGTCCAGTTCCTTTGAGTGCAGCCAGGAGTGATCCCTGAGCAGAGCCAGTCTGGGTGTGACTCCTCCCCCGAAAATGTCCCCAGCTGGCATGATTCCCAGTTTTGTTACATGAAACAGCTCCTGGCACTCAAGCAACAAATGCCAATCTGGTGCTGCCAGCATCTCAGGCACAGAGCGGGGCCTCACTGTCCTGCTCACAGAATCAGCACTTTGCAGCACATAGCCCTAACCCCAACACCAATATCCAAGCAAGTCCCAAAATGCCCAGCAGGAAGTAGACAAGAGCCACCCAGCCATCCCCTCCAGAGTGCCGTCCTACATACGAGACATTGGCCGGCAATGACCATCTGCCTAGAGAATGGGCAGAATACTGTGATGGCAAAATCTCCACCAATAAGGTTCCAATTCCTGGGGCTGAAGTGATAGCACAATGAGTAGGCCATTTGCCTTGCACGTGGCCAGAGCCAGGTTCGATTCCCAGCATCCCATATGGTCCCCTGAGCACGGCCAGGAGCAATTCCTGAGTGCATGATCCAGGAGTAACCCCTGTGCATCGCTGGGTGTGACCCCCCCCAAAAAAAAACTTTAAAAAAAAGCCAAAAAAAAAAAAGATTCCAAATTCTGGGAACTCTCCACCAATAGGGTTCCAGTTCCACCTATGGGGCTCTAAGTCAGTGAACTCTCCACCAATAGGACATCATTGTCACTTTCACTGTCCTCCCGTTGTTCATCGATTTGCTCCAGCAACATCTCCAGTAACGTCTCCATTGTGAGATTTGTTGTTACTGTGTTTGGCATATCAATTCTGGGAAATCCCCACCCAATAAGGCATCAGGTCTGGGAAACCCTCACCATACGGTTCCAGTTCTACCTATGGGGTTCCAGGACTTCCGGGAACTCTCCACCAATAAGGCATCAATTCTAGGAAACCCCCACCAATAGGGATCCAGTTCCAACTACAGGGCTCCAATTCTGATAAAGCCCCACCAATGGGGCTCCAACTAGGAACCACCACTAAAGCTCCACATCAGCCACCGCCTGTCTTTCTGGAGATGGGGTTTTGGTGGCTCTGTTCCATACAACTGGCCTCCCTGAATGTAGACAGGAAAGGACACTACCTGTCCACCCCTCGCAAACTGTTGAAGAGAACGATGGACTCCAGAGGACTTCTAGACCACTGCAGGGGAAGGCACAGAAATCCAGGTGGCCTGACTGTCCTTACTGAACACTGCTCCCACGTGTCACAAGCCACCAAGCATCATTGCTTGAATCCACAGGTCAGGTCCCTTCATTGGGGGTGGGGGCCATTCCAAGTCCGCCCCTCATCTGTGCAACACGCTAGCCCTCATCTAAAAGGCTCAAAGCTGGAAATTTCTAAATTAGGAAAATTCTAGAACTTCCTTGGGTGGGGGGTGGGAGTGGGGGCGGCAGAACCAGCAGATCTCGATCAGAAATTCTTGACCTCAGTTTAAAAAATGAGCCATGAATATGGTTTCCAGCAGGATCTTCACCACATACAGTGGCCTACTGAGTGCAATCTGACTTCTGAAACCAAAAATCAAAGTGGGTTTGATACTGCCCTCTTTGGGGGAGGGGGTATTGCTGGAACAGTGGGGAGGAGGGGGCAGTGGTGGTCTCCGGGGAAGCTGGAGCCACTTTCTGACTGTATTAGTTTAAACACGGTAGATAGCCAGGGGCTTGCGAGTGATTTTTCTGAAAAGGACGCAGTGGGATGGATAAGCTGGAGGAGGGAAGGCTTGGTACTAGAGTGGGCTCCCCTCTCGTGGCTGGGGTACAGCAGTAAGTATGGAAACCCAGTCACAGGGCTTGGAACATGTGATGAGCAGGACATGACATCTCACCTCCCTGCCCTCTGCCCTCAGCCCTGCAGTATCTGCAATGGTAGCAGAATCGCGTTCTAATAGCTTCCCACGGTCTTGCCGGCACTTCCCGGAGACTTCCAGAGTCCCATCGCTGCTTCTCTGCAGACTGGTGGAGGCCCCTTTTATCTTCCGTTTCCTTTTGGGGAGGGGGGAGAGTGTCCCACATGCAGGTGCTCAGGAGCCACCACTAATCCCAGTGGTGTGCAGGGGACCATGTATGTCCTGACGTGGATGCAACCCCGGATTCCCGCCGGCAAAGCAGGAGCTTAGTCTGCCGAGCCATCGGCCCGGCTCAGGGACTCTTGGTGCAAGTCATTTTGTGTGGTTGCTCCAAGCTTCCCATCTGTGAAATGGAGGGCTTCTGTTCTGTCTCCAGGGACAGCATGAGAGCAAAATGGTTAATGAGTGACCAGGAGCTGGCCATGCATAAAGCCGCAACGGCTCTGTTTTATAAGATAGAAAGGTCAAGGTGGAACCATTCTCACGAGACCGAGACCAGGAAACAGTCTCCCCCAGGGGTTGGGGAGAGAGGAGTGGCCCAGAGACAGACAGGGGAGGTAGAGACAGACAGGGAAGGCAGAGATAGGCCAGTCGGATGGAACCCAGGGTGCTCAAGCTGCTTTGGGTGGAGCTTCTGGTTCCTTCAGTCCTTCCCCTCCAGAACTGAGGCTTGACAACTCTGACCCTTTTGTTTCCTGTTACAAGATAACCCGGCTGAATGCTGCTGCAGCTCTAGAGGATTCTTCCTTCCCTTCCCTTGTGTTTGTATTGGGGCCTTGATGTGGCCTTCCCTGTACCTCTCTGCGTGCCGAAACTAAATGCAACGGTTATTGGGCAGACACAGGGGCTGGAGCGATAGCCCAGCGGGAAGGGCGTTTGCCTTGCACGCGGCCGACCTGGGTTCGATTCCCAGCATCCTATACTGTCTCCCTCAGCACCACCATGAGTGATTCCTGAGTGTGTGAGCCAGGAGTAACCCCTGTGCATAGCTGGGTGTGACCCCAAAAGAAAAAAAAAAGAACTAGAGGGCAGATACAAACAATGACAGCAGAAAACTGACAGACATGTGTGTCCAGTAATACACCCAGGGGTCACTGAATGAAAGGTATGGCCACTGCAAGAGCTTGGAGCCCACACGACAGGCAGGACCAGGGGCTGCTGGTGAGGCTAATATTTAGTCCCCAGGGAGCAATCCGCACCCTCACCCTCTCCCCTGACAAACTGCAAGTTCACCCCACAGCCTGAGCTAGGCTGCCTGTGGAGGGTGTCTAAAGTTTCCAGGATGGGGCTGGAGTGATAGCATAGTGGGTTGGGCATTTGCCTTGCTTGTGGCCAACCCAGGTTGGATTCCCAGCATCGCATATGGTCCTCCAACCACTGTTAGGAGTGATTCCTGAGTGCAGAGCCAGGAGCAACCCCTGAGCATTGCCGGGTGTGACACAAAAAGCAATAATAATAATTAAAAATAACAAAGTTTCCAAGATACAGGCAAAAACAAGTCTCTCCTCTTTCCCAGCTTGACTCCCCCTCGATGGGACTTTATAAACACTGTTATGGGGGTTCCTCTTCCCCCAGACAGAAAAGACTGGGGGCCTGACCATGGATGTCAGTCTCCTTCATCTGCCACAGGGCAGAGGTCACACACGGTGACCCCTCCCTCGCTCCCACAACCTGTCTTCCTAGATTCTGAGACTCCCCCACCCCACTCCCATAGCCTGTTTTGAAACTTCAAAATGCATTTGATTCCATTTTCTGAGGTTCTCTTTCTAGATTGTGTCTAAGCAGCATAGCTCCCATTCCTTGTGGCCTTCAGTCCTTTTTCTTCACTAGTTGCATGTGGCCGACCCAGGTTCGATTCCTCTGCCCCCCTCGGAGAACCGGGCAAGCTACCGAGAGTATCTCGCCCACACGGCAAAGCCTGGCAAGGTACCTGCGGTGTATTCGATACGCCAAACACAGTAACAACAAGTCTCACATTGGTGATGTTACTGGGCCCGCTCAAGCAAATCGATGAACAACGGGAGGACAGTGACCCCCCTCCCAAGACACACTTTTGGGTGCAGGAGAGATGAATAGGAAATACAGTATTTTACTACATAATCATTGCCATCACTATAATTCTCACACTGTTTTTAATAGTGGCACACCTGGGGGATGGGGTGGATAGGGCAGGGATTGGGGCCACACCAGCCAGTGCTCTCAGCTCTGCTCAGGGGGGCAGACAGGGGGCGCCAGAGCTCAAACCCAGACTTCCTGCATGCAAAACCTGTGCTCCCTTCCACTGTGCCTTCTCCCCAGCCCTGGGACATTTTTGTTAAGCTCTACATAATGGTCACACTTTTTTTTTTGCAATGAATCAAAAAAAAAAAAAAGAATGGCATGAAGTCAGTGATGACTGGGTCATGCAATGCAATAAGAAATGCCCTCCAAGGTGGGCTGGGGTATTTGTGCTGGTGCTGAAAACCCAGGGGAGAAGCTGGCAGCTTCCTGGGTCCTGGATGCCAGCAGTGAGCTCACGCCCTGAGGGCTTCAAGGATGCCAGGCCCCTCCGTGTGCCCTGCACGGGCAGAACACTGGGAGGAACAATGGCAAATTTCCGGAGGCAAGAGAAGGTCTTAAAATATACCCACAGACCATTAGCATGGAAGAAAAATGGAAGACTGGGATAGCACTGGCAACTGTGGTTGAAAAAAAAAATATTCTGAAGGCCACAAGGAGAGCTCCACGGGCCAAGTATGTGCTTTCCATCAGGGAAGCTTGGATTGGACCCCAACACCCCAAAGTGATGCGTCACTGGGAATGACCCCAACCACTGGGCCAGGAATAGCCACCAAACTGCCAGCCATGGGCCCCAAACAAACAAAAATTATGGTGTGTTTTTTTATTTACTTATTTATTTTTTGAGAGGGGGGTGTCACACCTGGCTATGCTCAGGGCTTAGTCCTAGCTCTGCACTCAGGGGATCACTCCTGGTGGGCTCCGGGGACCATCTGAATTGCCAGGGATCACACCTGGGGCGGATGTGTGTAAGGCAAGTGCCTGATCTGCTATACTATCACTCTAGTTCCCCAAATAATGCTGTTTTATTTTCTAACAGTAGAGAGCCAGAGAGATAGCTCAAGTCGTGAGTACATACTTAGATGTGCAAGGTCATAAGTTCAATCCCCAAAATGGCCCAGTCCTGATCTCCTCCCCTCACCCCACCCCCAGCTCCCCACCACCACCTGGTGGCCCCCCAGCACTGCTAAGCGGGGGTGTGGGGGGCCCTCGCTAAAAAAAAAAACAGAAGTGGAAAAGTAGAAGTGAGCACGTTTTCTGCAATGAAAGTCAATTAAATGGCTCAAAATGCTGCCAGGTGGAACTGGAAGCACAGGTGCATGAAACCCTGTCATTAACATACTGGAAATAACGGTCTTCAGGTAAAAATAATAATAATAATAATAATAATAACAATAATAATACAGGAAACACTGCCAGAGACTGCTGTGAGCCCCGTCTGAGCTGCTGGTGGTGAAGCTGCCACTTCCCGCCCTGCCCGTGTTCACACGCAATGGGAGACCCGCTCTTCAACCCAAGTTCCATGGCCTGGACCCAGCCCAGGCCAGGAAGGGAAGGTGACCAGGGAAAGCTGGCACAAGGACATGGCGGCATGATCCCTGGCAGCCCTTGGGAGTCTGGAGTGCAGCCTCCAGGCTGAGCTGAGCTGGCATGAGCCAACTCACCTAGATCTGCCCCCAGACCACACTTGCCACCACTGTCCCAGAATTCCGCTTGTTTTTCCCTTGGAGGATCTTCAACTCAGCCATCGTAGGTTGGATAAAAGTAAGCGCAATTCATTCAGAGACAGAGACACAGAAAGACACAGAGACACAGAGAGAGAGAGAGAGAGAGAGAGAGAGAGAGAGAGAGAGAGAGAGGCAGCCTGGGGGCTTGGGGGCGATGGGAAGGAAACTGGGGACACTTGTGTTGGGAAATGTACACTGGTGGAGGGATAGGTGTTGGAACACTGTATGACTGAAACCCAATCATTAATAGCTTTGTAAGGGCCTCACAGTGATTCAATAAAAATAAATGAATGAAATAAAAATAAAATAAAATTTTTAATTAAAAAAAGTTAAAAATAGGACTGGAGAGATAGCATAGCAGGTAGGGCATTTGCCTTGCACGCAGCTGACCCGGGTTTGATTACCAGCATTCCATATGGTCCCCAGAGCACTGTCAGGAGTAATTCCTGAGTGCAAAGTCAGGAGTAACAACTATGCATTGCCACGTGTGACCCAAAAAGCAAAAATAATAATAATAATAATAAATTAAATATAATAAAAAATGAAGGCTATTGGGGCCCAAGAGATAGGACAGTGGGTAAAACATTTGCCTTTCATAAGACCTACCTGGGTTCAATCCGCAGCACTGCATTTGGTCCACTGAGCCCCCCCGCCAAAAGTGATCCTTGAACACTGAGCCAGGAATAATCCCTGAGCCCCTGCCAGTAATGATCCCTGAGCACAGATCCAGGAGTAATCCCTGAGCATCACACACACACACACACACACACACACACACACACACACACACACACGAGAGCTCTGAAGCTGTGTTTTCTTTCCAGTGGTACTGTACTATCGCTCTGGCCCCAAGACTTAGAGAGTTTTGAGATCAACTCTGACCTGACTCTGTAGGAGGCAAGAGAAACAGGTAGATCTTGGCAACAAAAGGGTTTGGAGGGGCCGGGGCAGTAGAACAGCGAGTAGGATGCTTGCCTCACATGTTGCCAGCCCAGGTTTAATCCCTGACACTACAGATGGTCGCTGGGTCCCCACTAAGAGTACAAGTAAGCCATGAGCACTGCTAGGTGTGCCTTGCCACCCCCCCCCCCCCAAAATACAAAACATATAAACCGACAAATAAAAGGGTTTCGGTATTGGCCTCACCTGTACTCTGCAACTCCTCCCGCATGTTTCTTCATGGCCGTGTCGGAGCTCATCCCATAGAAGAGCTTCAGCTTCTGCCCATTCTTCTCGATCACCTCACCGGCACATTCGGTATGGCCCGAAAACATCCCGCCCAGCATAACAAAATCTGCTCCGGCTCCTACACCCCAATAGCAGGACCAAAAAATAAATACATAAAAAAAAACAGCAGAAAAGAGAGCTCGGAGAAGACAGCTCTTCAAAGACCCCGCTGCTCCCCCAGGAACTGCCCTGCCTCCAAATGTCGTGAAGATAAAGGCCTGAGGGTGTGCTCCCTTTGTGAAGAAAAGTACGGGACCCAGGACACTCAAAACTGTGACCCCTTGTTTGTTCATTGCAGCACTCTTTACAATAGCCAGAATCTAGAAAAAAAAAAAAACCTGAGTGCCCGAGAACAGATGACTGGTTAAAGAAACTTTGGTACATTTACACAATGGAGTACTGTGTAGCAGTTAGAAAAGATGAAGTCATGACATTTACATATAAGTAGTACTACATGGAAAGTATCATGTTAAGCGAAATGAGTCAGAAAAAGAGGGCTAGACATAGAAAGATTGCTTTCATCTGGGGAACATAAAGTAACAAAATAGGAGACTAACACCCAAGAGTGGCCGAGATTAGTACCAGGAATTTTGCTCCATGGCTTGGAGGCCAGCCACACATGCTAGGGGAAAAGAGAGCTCAGATAGAGAAGGGAGCACCAAATAAAGGTGTTGGGAGGATCCTCCTAGGATGGGAGAAGCATGCTGAAAGCAGACTACAGACCAAACATGATTGCCACTCAATGCCTCTTTTGCAAACCACAACACCCAAAAGGAGAGAGAGAACAAAAGGGAATGCCCTGCCACAGAGCAGGGTGGGATGGGGGGGGGGGGGGTGGGAAGGATACTGGGACTGGTGGTGGTGGAAAATGGGCACTGGTGGAGGGATGGGTACTTGACCATTGTATAACTGAAACACAAGCACAAAAATTTGTTAGTCTACAACTGTACCTCATGGTGTTTCACTAATAAAAATTAAAAAAAAAACATGTGGACCCTCCCCCCCCACACACACTGGCTCCTTGCCAAACCACTGGACAATCCCCAATGGCTTTGAATGACAACCTTCCACACAGAGGAAAGCAGATGATCAGAGAAGCAGGAGGAACTGGACAACAGTAAGAGCTAGACAAAACCTGAGAAAGACATCGTGGGATGCAACTTCAGATGCAGCTGGACGATGCTCGGCCTATGATGTCCCCAATGGACATCTGGTCTACCTTAAGCTTTCTCAAACTCTCCCTGAGTAGCTGGACAAGGACAGAGTCTACCTCCCCGAGTAGAGTCCGGGCATAAGCAGACAGCACCCGTGTCCTCTCTACATGTCAAGCAAAACTTGATGCATCACACTCCACCACTTATCTCAAACCTCCAGAATGATTAATATTCCATGCAAATCAGCAAATAACACAATTTCCAGGCAGACATTAGCCGACACTGGGGCGTTAACGTTGCCTTTGTAGACCGTGTGGGCATGGGACCAGGGCTGGCTCAGTGCAAGGTCCCCAGAGTTTGTGAGAGTGTGTGACACAGACCAGACCAGAGTGACCAACACTGGGTTCAAAGAAAAGGGAGCACATGGAAACAAATGAATTGTCCACTATATATATATATATATATATATATATATATATATATTATATGGATAGGCTCTCCACTAACAAGTCAGAATCTAGCAACTTTTCCCAAGCCCTTTGGAGGGTTTACATGTAGAAAATGAAGATATCCAAGAACAGAGCTGAGTAAGTAATTAGGATGAAGAGCAGACCCTGTCCAATCCCCTGACAGGGAAATGAAAATACAGGAATCCCTGAGCAGTGGCCTGAGTCCTTCTATGAGGACATCAGCAATGTTCTCCCACAGGGACTTTCCCAGGGGCTGGAGGACACTCCTGGCGATGCTCAGAGCTTCCCTGCTCAGGCCCAGAGCTATACTGGAGCTGGAGAGAGGGGTCCCAGGGTGTTGGGTCAGGAGTAGCCCCAAGCACCGAATCCCTCCCCCCCCCCCACCACCAGTAAAGGCCTTGCTGGCATGACTCATCAGGAGTGACTGTGAGCATACAGGGAGCCTGAGGCCCCATCCTCGCTCCTGCCCACCTGCAGACCCTGACCACAGCCAAGTCAGATGGACAGAGGCCACCAGTGTCTGCGATGAGCCTGGCGTCTGGCCAGAGGGCTGCCCACTTTACTAGTCTCCAGGACTGCTGCTAACCCAACTGCTAAAAGCATTCCCTCTGCTTTCCTCCCCATTGTCTGACCCGAGAGAGAAGACACAGGGGCAGGGCGGATGGTCTAGGGGGTCAGCGCTGAACCAGGGAAGCCCTTGAGTCTGAGGAAGGACACTGCATTCTTTAAGGATGCCTCCACCAAAACAAACAAACAGAAAGGTGAGGGGGGTGACAGAGAAGCTTAAGAAAAGTCAAAGGCCCCAGTGGCCTGCAAGTCATTCCCCCCCACCCCCGTACCCCCCTACTTCTGCTGCTGCTGCCCCCAGTGAAAAACAGCTCCTTTGGGGAAAACTACCAGGGACAGATTTTCCCTTGAGCACCCTCCCCAACCCCTCCAAGCTCCACCCCAAAGTTCTGGGACTTCATCCCGGGAACCACCTTCCTCCACATACTTGAGATTCCTGCTCCTGGCCTGGAGGATGCCGCCCCAAGTTCTGTCCCTGGGTCTGCCCTGCCAGCGAACAACAGTTCCCAAAGGCAAGCCGGGCCCCAGGACCCCAAAAGGCTGACAGTGAGGGCAAGAAAACTCAAGGTCAGGTAAGTGCAGAAACTTCCTCTCATTCTGCCTCACCCCCTAGGGCTCCCCCAAACCCTCCCACCTCCCCACATATCCCTTACCAAAGGCTTTGGCGACATCTCCTGGGCACGTGCAGCCTCCGTCCTGCAGAGGGAAGGTCAGAGAGAGGCGTGAGCATCTGCAGGAGGGAACGGACCCGGTAACTGGAAGTCGACATCTGTCCCCGCCAACACCCTTCACCAAGAACAGAGGGCTAGGCCCACCCCACCGAACCGCTTTCTGACCCACGTCCCCCAGGGAATGTACCTTCCCTTCTTCCCTCCAGCATCTCACATCAAAAAGAAAATGACACACCAGGGGCGGCCCATCCCCCCGTTCCCTATGTGGCTGTCCCCTGTCCTGCCTGGTGGGCAGTGAGCAGAATTCCATACCAAGAAAAAGGACAGGGTGCCATGGCTTTAGGATTCCAAGTACGTGTGTCTCCTCTGGCGCTCTGGGAAGTGGCAGCTGCCTGGAAACCCCATCTGGGGAGCTAACAGCCTGTGACCCTTCCCTGGGTGCAGCCCTGGGGCCAGAGCGGCACACAGGGAGTCTGTTTAAACACCTGCCACGCGGTCTCGGGTTTCGAAAATGCAGAGACCACAGGTCAAGAGCTCGTCACAAACACAAGGGACACTGTTGGGGACGGAGGGCCAAGATGCACAGAATGAGGGGACAGGCAGGAGGGGCAGAAAACAGGAGCTGGAAACCCAGACAGCTGATGTGGAAAACCACAAAAACAAGGGTCCTGTGGGTGCTTATCTGGTTGGCTTCCCCCTCCCCCAAGAAAGAATCCCCTTGGACAAGCCCACAACCAAAAACGTTTGTCGCGATATACCCGCGGATATGTGGATAGGTTTTAGCCCTGTGAGACGGAGATAACTAGACACATGAACCAAGGATGCTTTTCTCCTCCCGGTAATGTTTATGGGACCAGAGCAATGAAAACCGGAAGTGAAGGAGAGTCTAGATCTCAACCCAGGAGGGTGTTAGTCCATCCTTGCTAATGGGGCGCAGGCAGGATGGGGCCAGTTCCACGCTTTCCCCCGTAATTCCAGGCCTTTTCTCTTCTCTCTCATGTTCTCAATCCTCCACAGTGCCCCCACTTCCACCCTGACCATGTAGGGTTGGTCCTGGGCAAGTAGCCTCATGCCCAGGCTGTAGTGGCCAGCAGGGCCTGGCGGAGATCTGGGAAGGGCACGGGCAGTGAATGACAACAGGACACTCCTGCAGAAGCGGAGAAGCCCTGACTGGACAGCTGGGACCCCGCTCGGTGTCTATACGGAACCCGGATTCGGCCACACAGGCTAGTAGCAAGCGGTTCAGTACCAGGCTGGAAGATGACACGTGGGATCCTGGGATGCTGAGGATCACCAAGGCCACTTGACTTTACACACACACACACACACACACACACACACACACACACACACACTGTGCTATTTTGGTGAATTCCATATACAGGGTGCTCTGAGGGCTAAGCTTCAGAGGGGTGTGTGTGTGTGTGTGTGTGTGTGTGTGTGTGTGTGTGTATGTGTGTGTGTGTTTGTGTACGGAAGGTGGGGTATAGCCCCAACACAAAGCTACAGGCAGCACGAAGGATCACTTACAGCGTGGGAAAACAGGGCTTCAGGAAGTCAAATCTCCCCAGGGCAGTCACCTGACTTTGGCAAAAGTCAGATGTGGTTTTCTAGCAGTCTTTTACACAGGAGTAGCTCAACAAGCAGATGTGCATTAGGCTAAAAACCCAAAGGTAAGGGAATTGGATGGAGGGCCAGACAACTGCCAGCCACCAAAGAACCTGGAATCAGATATTCTAGCTTCTGGCACATAGTAGATGCTCAATTAATACACGGGGCTGAAAAGGCTGGGCGGAAGGACTGGAAGGAGCATGGGAAATCAGGGCGAGGCCGGAGATGAGGAAGGGCTCTTCCTTCACTCGATGGTCACCTGGTATCCAGAAGAGGTCACCCTGGGCAGCAATGCAAGGAGGCTGCTCAGGGCTTGAGTGAGGCTTGAGGGAGCTAATGCATGTGGAGGGATTTTTGTTCTGTTTTGTTTGGGAGCCCCACTCAGCACTGACTTGCAGCTGTACTGGCTCAGTACTTGGGGGTCACTCCTGGCAGTGTGGGGATCAAACCCCGGCCTCCATATACAAAGCATGCTGAGCTTTCTCTCTGGCCCACATGCAGAGATGCTTAGACATGAGGCTGAGGTGATGTGTCAAAGGGCTGGAGTACTTGCCTGGCGTGCATGATGCCTGAAGGACCACATGCTTCTACCTAAGAAGAAGGGAATAACCTTAAAGGCCCCCAAGTACATAGCTGGGCCTGAAGCACCTGGACCATACAGCCAAGTAGCTGAGCACCACTGGGAATGGCCCCCAGGCCCCTTGAGTACTGCCTGACATCCTCCACTACACACACACACACACACACACACACACACACACACACACACACGCCCAGAAAGTTCACAAATCAGATCTCAGGCGTCTGAAACGCTCTGTCAAAATCAAGTAAACAGCATTCCACAGGGCCACGTACCGGAACTGCAATGGGCCGGGTCTTTTACTTAGTTCCTAAACTCATCTATCAATTATTTCCCGGGAGCATCCGGCTGAGCAACTGTGCCAGTGGAAAGGTCTGAAGACTTCATGCAGTCAAAGCACCTGTTTTGCTACGGGCCCACCGAACGGGGGCTGCTCCTTTGGGTGCACATCAGAGACAGAGAAGGACGCTGCCAGGCAGCAGAAGCTGGAGTTCACTGTGCCATGGTCTGCCCTGCTCTGTGTCTCCTCTCAAAGGGCACGGACAGGCGAATGCCCAACCTCGGGATGGAAAAGCAGCTGTTCAGAAGCATGATGCTTTCTCAGCCCTTCAAGTTGGCCTTCTGCCCCCGACACGCCACTGGGCCCAGCATCATGGGAGACTAGCCAAGCAGCAGTGGACAGATAAGCAGATAAGGCAAGGTTGTCCTGGAGAAATTGGGTCCCCGAACACGGGACAGTGCTGACTCGCAGACAGCTGCCTGTGGATCCTGAGAGTCCGGAGGGGAGGGGGGAAATTAGGGTCCTGGTGCTACATGCCCGGAAGCTTCCAGAGGGAGAGGGAGGAACACACTGCCCGCCTCCTCAGCCCTGTCCACGTCCTGGTCAGACTTCACATCTCCGGAGCGAGAACTTTCTCCGGGTGGTTGACCCAGTGTGGTCACCAGCGCCGGGAGCCAACCCCGAGGGCAGACTCACGGTCTCCAACTTCTGCCCTGGCACCCCCCCCCACCCCCCCCCACCCCCCGCCACATCCCCGACACTCACTGAGATGATGTGGCCCTTCAGGCCATGGGCTGAGTCTGCGCACTCGATCACTGCGCTCAGCTGCGGGTAGCCCACTCCAGTCTTGGTGCGGGTGGTACACACGGAACCTGGGGGCCGGACACAGGGACAGGCGGTCAGGGCGGGCAGCATGTGGCTCCAGTGCCCCTGAGATCCTTTCTTGGGAACAAGCTTTTTATTTTATTATTATTATTTTTTTTTTGCTTTTTGGGTCACACCCGGTGATGCACAGGGGTTACTCCTGGCTCTGCACTCAGGAATTACTCCTGGCAGTGCTCGGGGGACCATATGGGATGCTGGGAATCGAACCCGGGTCAGCCGCGTGCAAGGCAAACGCCCTACCCACTGTGCTATAGATCCAGCCCCTATCTTTACCTACTTTTATCACTCAGTTCTTGTCCAGTGTTATCATTTCCAGCTATTACTATCATACTGGTCCCTTCTCTATCTTACCTACCCTCTGCCCCACATACACCCGTGGTAGATTCCAACCACTGACCCGTACTTAGGGCCCCTATTTTCCCTGGCCTTGGATATTAGTCTTCTACTATCTATATTTTTATATACCACAAGTGAATGCAGTCATTCTATGTCTGTCCCTCTCTTTCTGACTCACTTTACTCATTTCCTTCTGACACATGATACACTTCATGTCCATTCACTAATAAGCAAATTTCATGATTTCATTTTTCCCAACTGCAGCATAGTATTCCATTGTGTGGATGTGCCATAGTTTCTTTATCTATTCATCTGTTCTCGTGCACCGCTTTGATTTCTCCTCAAGTGACCTCGGTGCCTCACTCTGCAGTGGGGATCAGATCACTGGCCATGTCAGGTCAAGATAGAGCAAAGCAAAGGACACATGAGGTGCAGGGAACCAGGACTCAGAAAGGAAGTCAGCCACAGACACAGGCACCCTGCCTATCCTTTCTCGCTCTCGTCCTTGTCTCCCTGTGGCCCCAGCCTCTCACGCCCGTCACACCACCCCATTCACCCCACACGCCAGAATGCTCCGTCTCTGAGGCCCCATCCGGGATCCACACCCTCCACCCAGGGGCCATCGCTCCCTTGACCTCTACTTTCCCAAGATCACCCCACCTTGGCAAACATCTAGGTGGGGGTTCCCAGTCGTAGGCCCTGGCATGACCAGCACAAGGCCTGTTCTGCTCTCACCAGCCTGCTAAGCAAGCGGGCACTTCTCCCTGGTCACCAGGATGCCTCAGATCTCGTTCCCAAGTGTCCCCCTGGGGAGGTCGCTCTCCACCAGCAGGACCCTGCAGCCCCCTGCTGGGCTGAAGCTCTGGACTCCCTAAGATCCCACCCTCCCCTCTGCATCCAGAACCCGCCCCCCCACTTCTCCTCTTTCAGGCTTTCTGGAAAATGTCACAGCTGATTGGGGTGGGGGGGGGGGGAAGCTGTTTGTCACTTCTCACTTCAAAGAGAGGCGCTCCAGTGATGACTAATGAAGCAGGTGGTTGCGTTGCCCCTGCTGGGCGCTGAACTCCCCTGTCACTAGGCTGAGAGGCTGAGCGAGGAGCATGAGAGTCGTGGGCACTATAAATAGTCCCTACAAAGGATGCGCGAACTCCACAATGAATGAGTCACTCCGAGTCGGGCCTCACTCAGCTGCTGCTCAAGGGAGATCCTGGAGGGTGGCGGGGGGGGGGGGGGGGGGGGCTTGTCAAAGCTAGAACTTCGTCCATTAGGCCCCATACTGGGGGTGTGGTGGGGGGGGGTGATGTGTGGGGGAAGAGGAGGCTGAGGGGTTCTGAGTGGCCTCCACTTCCTCTCTGGCTCCCTGCCACCCCAGTGGCTTCTCCCAGAGGCATTTGGGAACCAGCTGAAGGAAGGATACTACAACCCCAGCTCCACGCCACGAGCCGCTGCCAGGTCAGCACATTCAGCCGGGCGCAAGGCCCCAGCAAGGGGTCGGAGTGGCCTCAAGAAACTGAAGGGGCTGGGGCCACAGCCATAGTCCAGCGAGGAGGGTACGTGCCTTGCACGCAGCAGACCTGGGTTCGATCCCTGGCAGCCCGGCTGATCCCCTGAGCACCGCCAGGAATAATCCTTGAGTGCTGAGCCAGGAGTAACCCCTGAGCATCAATCAACCCTCCCCCCCAAATAAAAACAAGCAAACAAAAATGAAATTGAAGGGGCCACGGGAACACATATTTCCCCCAAGGAGAAGGATGGGGGTGCTTTTTATTTTTGGGAGTTTTTTTGCTTTTTGGGTCATATCTGGCGATGCACAGGGGTTACTCCTGGCTTTGTACTCAAGAATCACTCCTCACAGTGCTCAGGGGACCATGTGGGATGCTGGGAATCGAACCCGGGTCGGCTGTGTGTAAGGCAAACACCCTACCTGCTGTGCTATTGCTCCAGCCCCATGGGGTGTGGGGGGTGGAGGGTGCTAATTTTTAATGCTCCCCTGCTTCCCTGGAGTGCCTCCATAACGAACCTTCTATGCACATTGTCCTTTAGATGCAGAACGTTTTCTCATCCGAAGCCTTTGTGAAATGGAAAAATCCTCCCTAACTATTGAAAGAAGGGACTGCGATCTAGAAGGGTCCGAGATGGAGCCTTCGCCCTCTCTGGTCTCTGTTCTGGGGGTACGGGGCCCTCGGAGACAGGGAGAAGACAACTCTTCTGGGGTACTAGAAGGGAAGAAATGCAAAACAGAGGAGTGTTCGAGGTGGTGCCCGAAAGCACTCCGAGGTCTGAGCTGCACGTCAGGTCATCCCAAGGGCCAGGGGTCAGTGAGGACTCTGGAGGGAACAGCCTTTCTGGGTGACCCCGGCTCTGGCCCAGGCCTCTGATGGCTGCCTCTGGGGAGTCCTGGAAGCCCCTTTCTTCCACCTTCCAGAAAGACTGGGCTGGTCTTTCTCCTTGCTCTGCTTGTGTATAGCACAGCGGTAGGGCATTTGCCTTGCGCATGGCTGGCCCAGCCAACCTGGGTTCGATTCCTCCTCCCCTCTCAGAGAGCCTGGCAAGCTACCAAGAGTATCTCACCCGCACGGCAAAGCCTGGCAAGCTACCTGTGACGTATGTGATATGCCAAACACAGTAACAACAAGTCTCACAATGGAGATGTTGCTGGTGCCCGCATGAGCAAATTAATGAACAACGGGAGGACAGTGCTACAGTGCTGCTCATGTCACTGGCTGGCTTAGGTGAGTGGCAATATAAAAGCCTCATCTCGAAAAATGTCTCTGTACAGAAGGAGCTGGAGCTTTCGGAACTCCAGGAACTGTCCCTTCACATGCAGGTGGTTTCTGGAAGGCTGGTGACGGTGTCCACACCACGCCTCCTGCCCCAGGCTGGTGCCAGGCCCCTGGCTGGCCGCTTCCCCACACAGAGGCTGTCTTTTGGTTATGCAATTTTATAGTATCTATTTGTAAACCTTTTATCATTATTTTTAAATGTCCAATCTGCAAATGGACTCTCTTCTTCCCTTCTCACAATTTTAGCATCTGGTAAACGATGGATGTACAGGGAGAACATTCAGAATTGGGCTATGAAGAGCATTTTTTTTCTTTTTGGGTCACACCCAGCAATGGTTAGAGGTTACTCCTGGATCTGCACTCAGAAATGACTCCTGGAGGTGCTTGGGGAACTGTATGGGATACTGGGGCCAGTTTGGCTGCGTGCAAGGCAAACACCCTACCCACTGTGCTATGGCTCCAGCCTCCTGAAGAGCATTTTTTATGTGGCAGTGTGCTAGCAGAGCACTGGCTCAGGTGTATCTGCCTGGCCTCAGGCACCACATGACCACACACTCAGCACCGCTGGATGCAGACCAACCGCCCTGAGCATCACTGGGCCAGAGCATGGAACATCACAGTGGCACCTCGGGAATAGCCCTGGGCCCTCCAGGACTGCTGGGAAGGCCACAGAGGAAAAAATCTTAAAATAATCCATACTTGGACATGAAGAGCATCAGGCTGAGTGAAATGAGTCAGAAGGAAAGGGACAGACCTAGAATAACTGCACTCATTTGTGGTATAGTAAGAAAAAAACAAACAAACAAACATGGTATGAGACTAACATCCAAGGAAAGGAAAACCAGGGGGAGGTGGACTGGTCTACAGTAGCTTGCCACAAGCGTGTGTGTGTGTGTGTGTGTGTGTGTGTGTGTGGCAGGGGAGGAGGGGGCGAAGGGTAGTTAGGATAGAGATGGGACCACCATGATGATAACAGTTGGAAATGATCACTGTAGACCAAAACTGAGTGCTGAAAGTAGATAAAGGGATATACATGATGACCTTTCAGTATCTGTATTGCAAACCATAATACCCAGAAGGAAAGAGAGAGAGGCAAAGAGACAGAGAGAGACAGAGAGAGAAGAAAAGTGCCTGCCAGAGGCAGGTGGTAGGGGTGGGGAGGATGGAGAAGAGAAACTGGGCACATTAGTGATGGGAAATGTACACTGGTGAAGGGACTGGTGTTGGGACCCTATATGACTGAAACCCAATCATGAACAATTTTGTAACTGTGTGTATCTTAGGGCAATTCAATTGAAAATTTTTTTCTTTTCAATAAAACATGTTAAAAAAAATAATAATCCACACTTGGAAGTTCATGGCGTCATGGCCAAGGACCAGCTGAGCCCAAGAGACACGGCACCGTCCAACACCGAGACAGGAAGTCTCTGCATCACTCCTTCATTCACGCTCCCGACCGTATCTTGAAACTAAGGGAGATCATTTTTATCCCGGACTTCTGAGGAACCAGCAAGACACCAACAGACCTGCCGCAGGATGCTTGCAAGACTAAGGGCAGAATCTGCAGCAGATGTGGATGAGGCAAAGGCCATGGATCAGATGACTTCTTCAAAGGTGCCAACTGCCTGGGCCAGGGTTCAAGTCCAAATGAGGCCTCCAAGTTGCATGGCGGGTTGTCACTTGGGGTATACACTTGCTGTGTCACAACTTCAGGTCATTCATAGCCAAAGCTCTATCCTCCTCCCATATTTCTCCTCTCACCTTCCTCTTTCAAAAGTATGGGGTCAGAAATGAAATCTGTGGGGCTGGAGCGATAGCACAGCGGGTAGGGTGTTTGCCTTGCATGTGGCCTACCTGGGTTTGATGCTCGATTCCCAGCATCCCCTATGATCCCCCAAGCACTGCCAGGAGTAATTCCTGAGTGCTTGAGCCAGGACTAACCCCTGTGCATTGCCAGGTGTGACCCAAAAAACAAACAAAAAGAAGAAGAAATGAAATCTGCATTCTTCCTTCCCCTGTGAACACCTGGATGAAGGAACTAGCCTGGATCCACATCTAAGTGGTTGAGAACGTCCTTGGGGGCATCAGCCCAATGACACGTTCCACCGGAAGCTTCCACCTGAGGTCAAGGATATGTGCAGAAGAATGAGCTCACACTCGTGGAAGTCTCATTCACTCAGCATCCCTCGGGGCCGTCCCTACACAAACACACACACACACACACACACACACACACGCACACATGCACGCACGCACACTCTGAGGTGTCTCCTTCTCTCCCTCGCGCCTTACCTGGACCCACTCCCACTTTGATGATGTCCGCTCCGGAGAGAATCAGCTCCTCCACCATCTCCCCTGTCACCACGTTGCCCGCCTGTGATGGGAAACACACCACACAGCGTCATGAGTCCCAGAGGCAGGGAGGCACCACCCCTTGTGGCCCAGACTAATGATGGGGACAGGGACAGGACTCCCCCAGTGCCTCAAAGTCTTCGAAGCCTGTAATCGGTGGCCAGCCCCATGTCCTGATGGTGATGCCTGAGGCCAGAGCAGAGAGCAGGAACGCTCTGATCTTAGGCCTGGCCAGAAACCCCCGAGACTGTTCTAAGTTCGGTTTTATAAATAAATAAGTAAACCTGCGACCTCTTATAGTCTAGCCCACTGATGTACCTAAATGTTTGGTTTTAAAACACTTGCTTGTATTCTCTTATATACATTCTCCGTCCCTCTTGGAGAGCCCAGCAAGCTATCAAGAGCATCCCGCCTGTACAGCAGAGCCTGGCAAGCTCCCTGTGGCGTATTCAATAGGCCAAAAACAGAAACAATAACGGGTCTCATTCCCCTGACCCTGAAAGAGCCTCCAATATGGCAGAGTTGGGAAGGATGAGTAAGGAGAGGCTGTTAAAATCTCAGGGCTGGGATGAATGAAGAAGTTACTGGCACCCGCTCAAGCAAATCGATCAACAACGAGATGATAGTGATACAGATTTATTTATTTATTCTTGGTTTGGGCCGGGGCCACACCTGGTGGTGCTCAAGGGCTTCCTCCTGGCCCCGCATCCAGGGATCACTCCCGGTGTGGCTTGGGAGACCATATGGGGTGCGAGGGATCGGGTCTGCCATGTTCAAGGCAAGCACTCCACCTGCTGTCCTTTCTCTCTCTCTCTCTCTCTCTCTCTCTCTCTCTCTCTCTCTCTCTCTCTCTCTCTCTCCCCCCAATACCATGGAAGGCAGAGATGGAGGGGCAGGAATGCAATCTCACTGCTCAGGGGCGCATCTGAGCCTGGGGCCTGGGTTCCTGTCCAGACCCAGGAGGGTGGCTAAGTCCCATACAGCAGGACTGCTGAGCAAGCACGGGCTTCAGAAGGGGGAGCTAAAAATAAACGCGCACACCCAGAAGGGGCCGCATCTGGCTTGGGAATCGCACAAGTGCTTTCTCGGCAGGAGTCAGGGAGCGCCAAAATGCCCTTTTTATTACAACTCGGAGCCCTGTGGATTTTTCAGCTGGTACATAGGATACTTGGCGAGGCGCTTGGCTGAATTTTTACAACAGTGCATGGTCCTAACTTTGGGAAATGCATCTCCACTCATTTACCCCCTCCAATTTTTTTAACCCCTTCCTTTCTTAAATGGAAGTGCCACTGTTTTTTCACTAAATTGATTTGCAGGAGGACTTTTTCCTTTTGTACCCTAGAAAGAGTGACTGTGATTTTGTATAAATGTCTCTTGGAAATGAGTTATTAGAAAGACTAAATCTTCAAGACCGCAGGCATTAGGGTCCATGGCAGGGCTAAAACCGCATGTCTGAGGCTCTGGGTTTGACCCCCAACACCACAAAAAAAAAACAGAATAAAAGCAATGGAATCTGATAATAGAAAATGATAGAGGGCCCAGAAAGAGGCCAAAGATATGGGAATTCAGTATATGCTAAGGGTAACATTAGACACCAGTGAGAAAAAAAATATTATTTCACTACTACTAGGAAAAAGGAATTTCTTAGAAACAAGATACAAGTGGTTAAGTTATACTATTCACCAACATTAATTTCATGACGTTTAAAGGGTGAAACTAAGAATTGTATCTTCCGAAATTAATTTTTTTTTAAATCCTTAATACTTACGGTAAGCATAAAAGTAAATAAGGAAAAATATTTGCTACATAAAACTTTCAAATGTGTAGATAGAGACACCAATATTCAACTGTCAATAAATTAAACGCAAAATACCATGGTTGAGAAAAATTTGATTATAATGAGGCTATCAACATTAAACATCAATATGAAAACTCTTTCTAGTCCATAGGAAAAAAGCTAGCACCATAGGAACAACAACCCAAAAGGCATGAACATACAAATAAAGGAAATAAAAAGCCAACAAAAACAGGAAGTGCAGGAAGTGAGTACAAACAACCTCACCCATAATCAAATTTCAATTAGGATACCAGTGAGCTGAGACTTTTCATTCAACGTATTATCATCATTGTGAACACTAAGTGCTAAAGAGAAATTAGATGAACTCTTTCTGTGCTGGAGGGGAAGTCTGTTTTGGTGCAAGTTTTTCTAGAAAATAATTTGTTCATATAGTGAAAATACAAAAATATCTGTGTCCCCCCCCCCCATGATCCAAAAATACCAACTTCCAGGATCTGCTCCCAAAGAAATAATTGTAGGTGAGGCCTAGAGATTTAGGGGCATGGATGCATTAGGTACAGCAGAGCAAACCTTCTAGTCTGTTCCCTGCATGAGGATGGTACCACCCCCTACCCGTGACACTTTTGAGATTGGTTTTGAGAGAACACAGTGCTCAAACACTTTCTTTCCAAGCAAGGATAAGGAGGAATGCATAGGGAAGTCTCAATTTTGTTCAAAACTAAAAAGCAAAACAAGCACATGTGTCTACCTCAAGAGATAGGAGGCTTGGGGCTAGAGCGATAGCACAGCGGGTAGGGTATTTGCCTTGCACACGGCTGACCCAGGTTCGATTCCCAGCATCCCATATGGTCCCCCAAGCAGCGCCAGGAGTAATTCCTGAGTGCATGAGCCAGGAGTAATCCTTGTGCATCACTGGGTGTGACCCAAAAAAACCCGGGAAAAAAAAAAAAGAGAGAGATGAGGTTTTCACTAGCCTCACAGGAATGAGCCTTGGGGGTGTTCAGAAGGTCGTATGCAAGGACAGGGATCAAACCTGGGTTGCAGCATGCAAAGCAAGCATCTTGCCCCCTGTACTATCTCTCCGGCCCTTCACTAGTTCTCTCCTTTACCATGACTGAGATATTTACAGTAAACACTGCTGAACTTTCATAATGAACTGTGACAAAGAAGATGCCCCACTTGAACACTGTATCCGGGAAAGAGCATAGCAAGAAGAGGTATTCTCCTCCTTTCCTGGCTGATTGGGCTGATATTTAATAATAAATGAAAAATAAGAGCTGAAAAGCAGTGACTGCCCCACATTAGCATTCTCCAACCACCCTCCGTGGTCCCAGTGCTGGTCCATAGGTGTAGAAAGGTTGACAAACCATGGCCTACCCCTTGATGGGAACTACTGGTCCATGGGTCAATGTGCAGTTCAGGAGCAGGGCCACAGAGGGAAGAGGGCTGAAGAATACTGTTCGACATGGTTTTCATTCATTTGGGGATGGGGGGTGTTGGGGGGCACTTAGTGGTGTTCAGGGCTTACTCCTGGCCCTACACAACACACACACACACACACACACACACACAGACTGCCACACATTAGGCAAAGTTAACTTCAGAAAAAGAACTGAAGGCCCAAATCCAGATCAGCCACATGCAAGGCAAGTGCCCTACCCCTTCTGTATTATCCTGTTTTATTTTCCTTTTTTTGGGTCACACCGGATGCACAGGGGTTACTCCTGGTTCATGCCCTTAGGTGTTACTCCTGGCAGTGCTTGGGGGACCGTATGAGATGCTGGGAATTGAACAAGGGTCGGCAGCGTGCAAAGCAAACGCCCTACCCGCTGTGCTATTGCTCCAGCCCCCATGTTTTACTTTCTTATGTGGCTCCCTGACCCCTCCCTAGCTCCAGTACTGCCAACAGACCCTTTGATTACAAAGAATTTTGCTTTTGATGGAAGAACAGCACTCAAGCTTTCTGGGACTGAGCCAGATTCAATCACAAGGGGTCTGGGTGAGCCTAACGGTGGGTGGTGACATCATCTGGGGAGCCCCAGGTAGCCACCACCACAGTGCCCCCTTCTGCCTCCTTCTCTCGGGGACGAGGGTGGCTTTCCTCCCCAGGGGTCACCTACATAGAGAGAGCTGCTAGTTGGAGAAGCCCACAGACTTAAGGAGATGCCTGGAAGCTGGGGTCTACCAGAAGGTTGGTCTCTGGGAGCTGTGAGGTCATTTCCGTTGGCAAGAACAAAGAGCTGAATTTTCAAAAGGGCAATTCAGTGGGCACAGGAAAAGGCAAAGCCAGGATTAAGATAGGTGTCAGGAGTATATTGGGGGAGGATCTGTAAAGGCCCTGGCCCCCTGGTGGGCCTCCGAGCCTGGGGGCAAGTGAGTGGGGCTGAATGCTGGGCACCAGTGATTAGGGACCTGTTGGCTTATCTGGGTCCAAAGCACCACCTGGGTGTGGTAAATGCCGGATTGTCGGGCTGTGATGGGGCCCCAGTCTTTGCACTTTCACTTCTGGGGCAGCCATCAGAAGATGGGAGTGACACCCCCTCTGGGCTCCTCACTCGGGCTGTCCACACACCTCCATGTGTCTAAGCGGACAAGTGGATGCCTCCTTCCAGGAGAAGGCGGGCACGTCCACACCCCATGCTCCCAAAGAGCAGGAAGTAGGAGCCCCCGGAGCCAAGAGACAGATCTCTGGATTGGGCATGTGCTTTGCCTGCAGGAGCCTGGATTCCAATGTTATGGTCCCCAGGGCGCTGCCAGGGTGACTTTCCCTGTACGACACAGGCAGGATGGTACTCCTCGAGTCCCATGGGTGTGGTTCCAAGCCCCCTACCCTCACCAGGAAAATAACAAAACACAACCAAAAGAACCACCAAACTAAAGACTCTACCCAGGTACTTCTGAACTAATTTGAAGTCTTCTGGGCAAAATCCACAACCACGGGGGTTCTGTACTAATATATGTCATGCTTTCCTTCAGACGCCCACACTTGGTGGCAGAGTGATAGTATAAGCAGACTGGGCGCTTGGTCTGCACACGGCCCATGCAGGTTCTATTCCCATATGGTCCCCCAAAGTCTGCCAAGAATCATGCTTGAGCACAGAGAGAGGAGTAACCCCAGAGCATCGCCAGGTGGGGCGCGCGCGCGCACACACACACACACACACACACACACACACACACACGACTTCCACCATACGTTAGGCAAAGTTAGCTTCAGAAAAAGA